TAGGCAGATACAAAGGCAGCGAAGAATATGAAAACAAATGTAAAAGATACTAAAATGGTTTTAAGCGGGGACTCAGAAAGATATTTGTATACCAGTGTTCATAGCAGCATTGTTTACAATAGTCAAAAAGTGGAAAAAACCTAAATGCCCATCAATGGATTAATGGATAAACAAAATGTGATATATCCATAAAATTGAATATCCAGCCATAAAAAAGAAGGTCTAACACACGTTAAATATGAATGAACCTTGAAGATATTATGCTAAGTAAAGCAAGCCAGACACAAAAGGACAAATATTGTATTATTTCACTTATATGCTGTACCCAGAATAGTCAAATTAATAGAGAAATAAAATAGAATATGGTTATCAGGGGCTGAAGGTAGAGGGTAATGGGGAGTTGTTGGAGGCTGAAAGAGTGAGGGTCGAGATCAACTCAGTATACCACTGGAGACTATATGAGTAAACAGCAAACTGTTTCTCATAATCACAGAATGTTGGCAAACTGACAAACTGTGTCTGCCACCCAGAAGGAATGCTGAAGGCAGTCATGCCCCAAGTACAGTGTTTCTTGTGATTAGGCAAATCTGAAGCCTGTTAGTAATAATATGAACCTGTGATCAATCAAGCAGCTGACCAATCGTTACCTCCTCCTCCACTCTTTCTACCCAATAAATACAAAGTGTTGTGGAAGCTCAGCAGCTGCCTTTGCTCACTAGAAGTGGAGCGCTCTTTTCTTCTTCCCCTGGCCCCCTTCTTTATAACAGTTTCTTTTGTCTTAGGTTTTCATTTCTATGGTTGTCCTCCTTCATTCAGTCTCGTAATGACAGTCTCAAGTAGTAAGAGTAATGTCTCTCGTAATGATAGTAACAAGTAGTAATTGTGGCAGTCCGCCACAAGTGGCGCCTGAACAGGGATATTTTAAATAGGGACATTCAGGGACAAACAGAGACCTGAAGAGAGCTGCAGGGACAAATAGAAATAAATAGAGATAGAGACAAATAGAGATAGGTAGGGAAAGACAGAGACTTGCAGGAACTAACAGGGACCACAGGGACAAATAGGGATAAAGACTAGCGGAGACTAGCAGAAACTTGCAGGAACAGATAGGGACACATAGGGTCCTATAGGGACTCGAGCAAGGAAGGTCTGCTGGAGCAGAAAAAAACTAAAGCCCAGAAAAAATTAAAACCAATCAGATGAACAAAAAACCCCGTTACAAGTCTGCTGGCAGCAACATAAGGTCAGTGCCCTAGAGGTACGAAGAACGGGAAGTTTTTGAATCAAAATAACATGGGGAAGAATTTGGTTATTTCTTTTCTCTTTTTTGTTTGGAGTTTGGTACGTACCATCTTTCTGTTATTATTTCAGGGTTTGAGAGAATTTTTTGCCCCACCTACAGCACCTATTGACGGTGGTGAACAGGAGAGGGAGGATGAAAATTGGCTTGTACCGTCTTCTGTGGCTACAGAAAGGCTAACTTTAGCTTTGGCTTTCATGGATTGTAAACATGTGCTGGCACCTGTGAGATGTGCGGTGCACTTGGGAGGTTTTCTCGGAGCTTAAGATGTGGGAACTGAGCACGAGAAGGATAAGCCTCAGATTTGCTTTCTCTGTGTCTTCTGTTAATCAGAAAGAGCCTGTTGCTCCTTAGCAGTGGAAAGTTTTACCCCGCAGCAATCAACCAAAAGAGGCAGAAACTGCATTGCAGCTTGTGGAGCAGATGCTTCAGCAACAGCCTGCCTCCTGGCTACAGCTACAAAAACCTTTGCTTTTGTTTTGGTAGATTTACTAACGTGGCGACCAGGGTATGTTTGTGTTTTCACAAAGAATGAACAAACCATGTGGGTGCTCCCAAGGTGTGTGCGACCATGGAATGGGAGACTGGGGGGACCCATGGATTCCAAACACAGGCCTGGTTCCCCCAGTACAAGCCATGAGCCAGTTGAATCTGAATGTGAAGGTGGAACGAGGACTGACTGGAGTCACACTCACATCAACCCCATGACATGCAGACAGATCAAGAAAACCACACAGGAAGCTGAGAAACTGTTAGAGCATCAAGGTCAGGCAAAAACCCCTGATTCCATGTTTGTGGCCATGCTGGCCGTGGTTTCCTGTGCATCTGTAAGATCAGCTGGACCACCAACCGGCAATTGAGGGCTGCACAGCCTGTAATTGCCTTTCTCAATTAAAAACAAAAAGGGGGAAATGTTGGAGGCCAAAAGAGTGAGGACTGTGATCAACTCAGTATACCACTGGAGACTATGTGAGTAAACAGCAAACTGTTTCTCATAAATGCAGAATGTTGGCAAACTGACAAACTGCGTCTGCCACCCAGAAGGAATGCTGAGGGCAGTTACACCCCAGTTACAGTGTTTCTTGTGATTAGGCAAATCTTAAGCCTGTTAGTAATAATATGAACCTGTGATCAATCAAGCAGTGGACCAATCGTTACCTCCTCCTCCCTGTTCATTGTACCTGATAAATACGCCGAGACGGGTGGATCACGAGGTCAGGAGATCGAGACCATCCTGGCTAACACGGTGAAACCCCGTCTCTACTAAAAAATACAAAAAACTAGCTGGGTGAGTTGGCGGGTGCCTGTAGTCCCAGCTACTCGGGAGGCTGAGGCAGGAGAATGGCAAGCCCGGGAGGCGGAGCTTGCAGTGAGCTGAGATCCGGCCACTGCACTCCAGCCTGGGCGACAGAGCGAGACTCCGTCTCAAAAAAAAAAAAAAAAAAAAGAAGGTTATGGAAGTTCAACAGCTGCCTTGGCTCACTAGAAGCAGGGAGCTCTTTTCTTCTTCCCCTGGCCACTTTCTTTATAACAATTTCTTTTAAGTTTTCATTTCTACCTTCGTCCTCCTTCGTTCAGTCTCGTAATGACGGTCTCAAGCAGTAACAGTAATAACTGTCATAGTGATGGTCTCAAGAAGAGTGGCTGTCAGTCACAGGGAGTCACTGTTTAATAAGTAGAGTTCCACTTCGTGATGATGACAAACTTCTGAAAACGGATGGTAATAATGGTTCTACAACAATGTGAATGTCCTTAAAGCCTCTAAACGGTACATTTGAAAATGGAGCCAGGTGCAGTGGCTCACTCCTGTAATCCTAGCACTTTGAAGGCCAAGGCAGGCAGATCACCTGAGGTCAGAAGTGTTCAAGACCAGCCTGGCGAACATGGCGAAACCCTGTCTCTACTAAAAATACAAAAAAATTAGCCAGGCGTGGTGCTGCACGCCTAATGGCGCCCGCCTGTGGTCCTAGTTACTTGGGAGGCTAAGGTACAAGAATCGCTTGAACCTAGGTGATGGAGGCTGCAGTGAGCCAAGATCACGTCACTGCCCTCCAACCTGGGAGACAGAGCGAGACTCTGACTCAATTTAAAAAAAAATGGCTAAAATGGTAGATTATATGTTATATATATTTCACCACAATGAAATTTTAAAATTTAAATGAAAAAATGTAGATTAAAAAATGGTTTTGGCCAGGCGCAGTGGTTCACACCTATAATCCCAGCACTTTGGGAGGCCAAGGCAGCAGGATTACTTAAGGTCAGGAGTTCGAGACCAGCCTGGTCAACATGATGAAACCCCATATCTACTAAAAATACAAAAATTAGCCGGGCATGGTGGCACACGCCTGTAATCTCAGCCACTTAGGAGGCTGAGGCAGGAGAATTGCTTGAGCCCGAGAGATGGAAGTTGCAGTGAGCCAAGGTCATGCCACTGTACTGCGGCCTGGCCAACAGAGCGAGACTCTGTCTCAAAAAAAAAAAAATGGTTTTAGAAATCTGAACAATAACAAGGACTGATGTTACCTTCAAAGGTTGAAAATATCTCAGAATTTTCTTCCGCAAAGATGCTTGCTTTTGAGTTTTTTTTCTTTTTTTAAATTATAGCTTCAGGGGGTGCACGTCCAGGTGTGTTGCCTGGGTGTATTACATGATGCTGGAGTTTGGGCTTTTCCTGGAGCAACACTTTCATATTGAGCAATTTGGAGCATAAAGTCCTAATCCACCCAACTCTGTTATCAAGCAAGTCTGTTAAGTTCTCAGGGTTTCTGTTTCCTTGTGGATCAACAGAGGAGTTCATAAGATGTATGAGCTTCATTTTGGCTAAAATTCTTTGGATTCAATGACTCCATTAAGAACATCTGAAATCACTATGCACAAACTTGTGGGCAGCCACTTATTTTTCAAGAATGCAAAACCATCTCAGCCATAGACTCCTAACTTAGCTACATAAATAAGGGGCTCCCTGCGAGAGCTTACTTACATTCCGATATCATAAAAAGAGGAAAAGTAATCTATAAAAAGAAAAGTGATTCTTACATGTAAGAAGTGTTAAATAAGGCTGAATATTTCTGTTCTATCTATATACAGAGAGTCTTTGAGATGGAGCCTCACTCTGTTGCCCAGGCTCTAGTGCAGTGGTGCATTCCCAGCACTGCAACCTCTGCCTTCTGGCTCAAGCAATCCTCCACCCTCAGCCTCCCAAGTAGCTGGAATTACAAGTGGGTGCCACCATGTCAAGTTAATTTTTGTATTTTTTGTAGAGACAGAGTGTCCCTGTGTTGCTCAGGCTGGTCTCAAGTGATCCACCTGTCTCAGCCTCCTAAAGTGCTGGGATTACAGGTGTGAGCCACCTTGCCCAACCCTGTTTAATATATTTTTTAAGCCATCTTATTAAGTAGTATTTGTTAAAATAATCCATAATAATGAGTGGATGGTTGCTTGGGATGGAGTAGAGGTCAAGTAAGGGGAAAAAAATATGGGAGTATGGAGTGTCAAGTCCTCGTAATTAGAGCCTAAGAAGCTTTTTGGCACTTTACATACACACACACACACACACACACACACACACACACACACACAGGCTTTTCATCCTTCCAATTGAATTAGAATTTTAAAAAAAATTTTGCTAAGCCTTTCTATGCAAACAATATTTTGCTCTTTGCTTGGAGTAGAAGAAATCAAGAAAAGTGAGAAAAGATACCTGGCATAAAAGGACCTCTTTTGTGGTTAAGCATGGTGATATTATGGCCGTGATCTTGAAGAATCTGAGAAACCCGGTCCATCAGTAGATAATGGCTTCCACCTAGGAACAATGCACAATTTCAGTTCTGGAATGATGAGAACACCGTGTCTAAAGTCGATAGTGATCAATCCAGGAGAGGAAAGGCAGGGGAACAGGAAGTGGATAGTGAGTGGAGGAAGATGAGTTTTGCCAGTCTCCTCATGTCCCTCTGGGTAAAACCCAGCCCACTCACCCAGAGCACGACCACCCAGATTTTTACCTGTGGCTCTGGTCCGTGAGAGATTGCCTCTTGTGAATCACAGTATCCATGTCAGTGTAATGAGTTACTATGTGCTTAGGCCATGGGAATTCCTCATCCTGAGGTACATGTACATTTTAACTAAGGCCTTATGGAAACACGGAGTCCAAAAGAAATCACAGCATTGGTGGAAATACAGGTATGGTGTTGTACATATGAGTGTGAATAGTTCCTAAAAAACAATGAGAACTGTTTCTGGGATCCTGCTCTTTGGACATTTATGCTGCTGTAGGAGATAGAAACCTTAAGAGATCTGTCCAAGAAATCATCACTGGAAGGGAAGAAATGAGGGACTACTACTTAGCATCCAAATCTTTAAGATTCTAATGTATTTGGAAAGGATGTACTTAATTTAGGCCAAACAATGATCAAGTTCTAATTAAGACATTTGAGGACAAATGTGGGGCCCTTGGGGTGGGCCTGCTGGATCCTGGTTGCACGACAGACTAGGGAATCCCTGATTCCAGAAAAATCCTACCATCCTAAGGAAAGAGAAGCTTGATCCTCAAAAGAGGTACAAGTTCCATGAAATCAATGTCTTCTCAGTGTATGTTCTAATACACAGCCTTTGCTTGAATCTAAGGTTCTCAGCAGCGGAGAAAGGAAGATCAGAAGAGAAGGTAATGTAATGGTAAATACCAAAAGTTTGGTGGTGGAGGTGGAAGGGAGTAGAGAAGTAGTGTGCCGCTCTCTGCATGACTCAGTTTCCTTATACCCAGACTTGAATAGTCTAGAGCAACAAGCGATGTATAAAGTACAAATCTACAACAGATCTTGCTCACATTTTAATCCATGTAAGAACAGGAAGCCAGGAAGAAGGGGTCCCCACAGAAACAGCTGTTAGTGGTGGATCCTGGGGAGTCAGGTGGCTTTCTGGGGCAAAAATCGGGATTCCAGCACCTCAGAAACGACACCAACTCCTTCTTGGAGCCTGAAGAAGGAGGACGGTGTACTTTCAAGAAGTTAAGAAGCTCTGTTGCTTCACTGAGACTAACACTCAGAAAGGGGGTGGGGGGAGTCTTCAAATGGACTTGCACTGTTTCTTAAACAGTGATTTTTGAAAATCCCCAGTGAAAAGGGCTTCAGAGTGGAAGTTGTGGTGAGCGTGGTCTTGCAGTAAGAAAACCCTGAGTTAATTCCTCATGGGACATCAGGGAGGCCACATGTGCTCTTAAGGAAGGCATCTCACTCCCCATCCCTCAGTTGCCCTCTCAGGAAATCAAAATGGGCACTAAATTAGATGATCTGTGGTTCCCCCCAGTTCTAGGAGCCCTGATTCTCTGTGATAAAAGGAATCCATTAGAACCCACTGTGGGTTGAAATAAAATCTTGGGGAAGCTCGATCCTGGGATGATCCCTTTATGTTCATATATGCTTCTCTTTTATATCCTATTCCCTTTGGGGTAAAAGTAAAAGAAGTAAAACTGAGACCCAAAATGCTGAATTAACAGTTCCATGAATCCCTCAAAAACGGTCAGCGGCACAGGTAAAAGGAAGGAGACTCCAAAAGATCCGAATGACCTGGGTCCTCTCCTCAGACCTGGGCAGTTCTCCAGGTTTCCCGTGGAGGAAAACACTCCACTGGCCTTGCAGCCATGAAATACCTGCCTGCGCCACCCTGGCTCCGGACGCAGCTTCACAACATTTGCAGTGCTGCCCTCAGGAGCGCCTTTCCCTGGTCTCCAAGAGCCTGAAAACGCTCACCACCGTTTCTACTGGAAGCTACTGTGCACCCACACACACGCACCCTCTGGAGCTTAGGATGAGCCTCTGAAAGTCCCACTGCGCTCTGGAGAAGGCAGCCCAGGGTCTCAAACTCCGGGATGAGTCTCAAATTTCTGGCCCCGGCCCTGCGGGATGGGGAGCGCTTCCTGAAGAAGAGGGAGAAACGGAGAGTGTCTTTTCTCCAAAACTATCTTCCCCACCTCAGCAACAGAGGCCCCTCTCTGCCCCACAGCTGGATGGGCTTCTCCCTCCTCCAGCCGGATCCGCAAGCCCAGCCTGGAAAATCGCCTGGATGACTCTGATCAAGCGCCGTTCGCTGGAGCCCTGGCAGTGCGGGTATCTGGGACGCGCCTGTCTGGGAATTCTCTGGCCAAGCACTCACCTACTGTAGATACTGTCAGGATTTTGGCAGCCTCTGAGAGCAAGACCCCAGAGAGAAGGAAGCCCACTAGAAGCAGCACCCGCTGCCCAGCCATGCTCACTTCCACAGAAGCCGCGGATCTCAGCCTGGGCTGCGCGCCCTGCGCCGGGCTGAGGGACCCTGTGCACCTCAGTGCGCCAAAGGCACTGGGTGTGGGAAGAGGTGGAAGTGAGGATCCTGCCAGTCTTCTCTTCTGTGCATCCCCTCTTGCCCTCTGCCCCTCCTCCCTCGTGCTCCATTGGGTAATCTATCCTTGCTCTACCAAACTACCAGCAGTCAGTAGGAGGGGTTGGTGAGTCCATCCTTAACCCTGCTCTGTCCGTGTGATCACAGCCCTCCTGCCTGGAAAATCCTTACTGTGAGCCAGGAATGGCAGGGACCTCAGTAAATCGCGCTGATGAACGCTCTATCTCCATGAGACCCATCTCTCTTTTGCCGAGGCTGTGTGAATTTACCTACTCTAGTTCCCTTCTGACTGCCTCTACTACCTCATACTGCCAGCCCCGTGATCTGTTTCCTGAGAGACTTACTTAAAATCTTGAGCTGATGTTCCAAGCCCAACACCTCCCTGGAAGGGGATCCTCAAGGGAAATCAATCTACCATCCCTGGAGTCTACTTCTTAGTGTCTCTTTAGAAGGTAAGAGAGGCTAGAGTCCTACCTCTGGAAGTCCAGGTCTGTCCCTGGAGGACTGAAATTCAAAAGCTGACACTGTCATTCCAAATGAGTATCCTGAAATAGGACTGGTGAATCTTTCCGTAATTTCCAAGAGCACACGCTGAAGACAGGTTGTAATTCTGCCTCCGTGCAATGTCAGCCCCAGTGAGGGCAGGGATCACTAGGTCCGGTAGCCCCCTTTACACTCTCTGTCCTCAAACTCTAAGACTTCCTTTAGGAAAGGCTTTCAGTGCACCTCTAAACAAGCAGAGGAATCCTTGGTTGCAGTGGGTCCTTGAATTCTGCTTGTACTGTTCCTGCCTTCTTCAGTCTATAGGTGTTATTTCTTCTCATTGGAATTTAAAGCATTACATGCCTATGCATTTGTGCATCCCTCACCTAGCCATACCTACTGTGGAGGAAGAGAGAAGAGAGGAGAGAGAGAGAGAAGTGTGGGAAGGGCCAGGTTTACCAGACATCACAAGGCTCCAGTTCGTCTTATTCTTGTACTTTTCATAATGCATTAGCAAAATAAAGGATTTGTTATCAAACTCCAAGATTTTTATTTATTCAACAATTATATTGATAGTATTTATTTATTTATTTATTTATTTTTAATTTTTTATTTATTTATTTATTTTTAATTTTTTATTTATTTATTTTTTTTTTTTTTTTGAGACAAAGTCTCACTTGTCACCCAGGCTAGAGTCCAGTGGTGCAATCTCAGCTTACTGCAACCTCTGCCTCTCAAGTTCAAGCAATTCTCCTGTCTCAGCCTCCTGAGTAGCTGGGATTACAGGCGCCTACCACCACACTCGGCTGATTTTTGTATTTTTTAGTAGAGATGGGGTTTCACCATGTTGGCCAGGCTGGTCTTGAACTCCTGACCTCACAAGATCCACCCGCCTTGGCCTCCCAAAGTGCTGGGATTACAGGCATGAGCCACCACGCCTGGCTGATAGCTATTTATTATGCCAGGCATTGTTCTGCCAGGCAAACTGATACTAAACACACTGAGAAATAAAATATATAGTACATTAATGGCAAATGTTACTAAGAAAAATCAAATGGAAAGAGATATGAAGAGTCAGGTATCAAATTTGTTAACGTTTTAAATAGCATGATTCCAATGGACTCTAAAATATTATAGGAGTATCAGAGATATTTGAACCCAAATTTTGATTGTATTAAGTAGTTATTGTTCCTTTGGAGAAGAGTTCTATGTAATTGTGGTTATAAACATCTTATAAAGAAATTCTGGCCAGGTGCAGTGGTTCATGCCTGTAACCCCAGCACTTTGGTAGGCGAGGCGGGCAGAACATGAGGTCAGGAGTTCAAGGCCAGCCTGGCCAACATAGCGAAACCCCGTCTCTACTAAAACTGCAAAAATTAGCCCGGCATGGTGGTGCATGCCTGTGGCCCCAGCTACCCGGGAGGCTGAGGTGGGATAATTGCTTGAACCCAGGAGTTGGAGGTTGCAGTGAGCCAAGATCGCGCCACTGCACTCCAGCTCAGGAAACAGAGCGAGACTTTGTCAAAAAAGAAGGAAGGGAGGGAAGGAAAGGAAGGGAGGGAAGGAAAAGAAGGGAGGGAAGGAAAAGAAGGGAAGGAAGGGAAAGAAGGGAAAGAAGGGAAGGAGGGAAGGAAGGAAGGAAGGAAGGAAGGAAGGAAGGAAGGAAGGAAGGAAGGAAGGAAGGAAGGAAGGAAATTGGCTCTTAAGGTACATTCTGAAGCATTTACAGATTCAGTCTTATGATTTCTTAGATTTGCTTCAAAATAATAGGTTGTGGGGGTAAACAAGGTTAAATGTGGGTGGCAGCATAAGAAAAGAGAATTTGCCAGGAGTTAATAATCATTGAAGCTGAATCCTGGGCATAAAGAAGCTCTACTTTTGTGAATGTTTGCAATTTTTCATTAAGATGTTTTTATAGTTCTTCCACTATAATTCTATTTTTCCTTGGTGTTATAGCAATTTTTCCTCTATACCCATAAGGCTACTCATTAAATGCATATATATGAACAATTGTAGTTTCAGGTATTATACCTTCCAGGGAAACAGTTGGTCCTCATTTTATAATGAGGACCTATTTTGTCTCTGGTAATACTTTTCACCTAAAGTCTATTTTGTTTGCCATTACTACTAACCATTCAGATTTTATTTTCCACTGTGTAAAAAGATCTATCTTTTCCTATCCTTTCATGTTCAACCCTCCTGTGTCCTCATATTTTAAGTGTGTCTCTTGAAACAGCAATCAGCTTGAAATTTTTATTCAAGTCTGTCAATCTTGTATTTCAGTCTGAATGCAGGTGTTTAAATCTACCAGGTTGCTATTTCTCCCATTTATTCTGTTACATTTTCTCTACTTTTTGGCTTTCTTTGAAGACTTGATTATTTTAGACTACTAGTTCACTTCAATTAACTTGGAGCGGGGGGTGCTGCTCCATCTCACTGGACTCAGACAAACTGATAACCCATTCACAGTGAACCTGCTTCCTATGTACAATATTTCCAGACTCATTAGGTCTCCATAAAGGCTTGCAGCAGAAGTTGAGGAGATAGCTTTGCTACAATCTGGTGTCTTCTTTTCTACTTATGGGAAGCTGTGGGTTCTGTGGGTGTTATGTGATCTTCTTATGTTTATCTTACATGCACCATTTAATTACATGCAGATTGTGGAGGCCCCAGAAGGGGAAACTCCCTATGGTGTACTCTCTTTACTCCATCCTGATACCAACGTATGCATTTTCTAAACCTTAATGCCAGTCAAAAGCAAAGAGTGGTACAGGCGCCACAAAGGAACAGTACACATGAATACTCAGATTAATTCTAGCACCTATTAGTAAAGCCTAAAGTCTCCATTCTCCTGTACATGTGGAGACATTTTGATGTGGATACGTACCTCCTACTCATTAGTACAAAATCCTTTGCCTAGAGAACTTCAGAACCATACAGACTGAAAAGAGAGTCCATTTGCAAATTACATTTTCTACAGAACCCAAATAAAGTGGATTTCACCCTTTATATACGACTTAAGGTTTAGTGCCAACTGGTTGTCTGTGCTGTCCTTGGAACCACAGCTACAACTGCATTCCACCTTCTCATCTACATGGATCTGGGGATCCATGATTGAAATCATCTGCTCTGGCTGATTGACTTGTGGTCCCCATCACACTTAGAAAGTCACTGAAGGCTGGGCGCAGTGGCTCACACCTGTAATCCCAACACTTTGGGAGGCCGAGTTGGGCAGGTCACCTGAGGTCAGGAGTTGGAGACCAGTCTGACCAACATGATGAAACCCCGTCTCTACTAAAAATACAAAAATTTAGCCAGACGTGGTGGTGGGTACTTGTAATCCCAGCTACTCAGGAGGCTGAGGCAGGAGAATCGCTTGAACCTGGGAGGTGGAGGTTACAGTGAGCCAAGATCATGCCACTTGCACTCCAGCCTGGGCAACAGAGTGAGACTCCATCTCAATTAAAAAAAAAAAAAAGGAAAGTCATTGAAGCAAACTCAGTGGTTCCTCAGATCCAGCCAGAGACTGTAACCAGGAAACAGAAGTGTTTCTTTATCAGCCTGCCCATGATTGCTTGCTGCTTAAGTGCATGAATATAGGCCAAGACTAAATAACAAAACATTCTGGTTCAACAGGTCAAGCATTCTGGAGGATTTGGGGCCACTTTCCCATTCTTCAGGCCCTAGAGGTTGGCTAACCCTCCACCCACTTCCCGCTGCACTCATCCTGACCAGCTGCCAGTGCAGACTTGCCCCATTCCCTGATAGCCGTGAGTAGCCAGATGACAGAATTCTGGGCAACTAGGACAGAAATCTCTTGGCCAATCGTTTAGTGAGGTTGTGGATAGATGATGTTGTAAACTTTTATTTTTCAGGAAATCTGGAAACCTACAGTCTCCATGCCTGATCAGCAAAGAAGGAGCTCTCTGTGGGCACCAGAGACAGGGACCCAATGTGGAGGCCTGCAAGCGTGTGTCTGGCCCTGAACTCTCAAGCATAGGGCAGGGTTCCTGCGCATCGAAGAGAATATGCAGGAGAACAGAACAGAAACGGAAAGAACATGCGAGGTGTCTTTCTCGGTGTTATTCTATGACAGATGGTGACTGAAAGAGGCTGAGAAGATCTGGACAGGGAGTCTGGAATGGTCAGGCTGTGATTCAGAGAGGCGTGTGATAAGGAAGGTGGATTTTAAGGCTGGAAATCTGAGGGTCAATGGTCCAAGTCACTTAGAGACAGAATCACAGCACAGCCCTCGCTGATGGCAAACAAAGGAGGACAAGAGGACTGGAAAGAATTCTGCTAACAGGCGGGAGCTAGTAAGGATGAATTTGTAGCAGAATTAGCAAGTGGAGAGGATGTGGAGAACAGGTTTGCCAGAACTGGTGGGAAGCCCCCAAGAAAATGTAACACTGCCCAACAAACACACCCCACCAAGGCTGTA